CCGATACTCTATTACAGCTTTTCACGGGTCAGCCCGTGTCTTGTTGCCCTCATGGTTAGTTTGTTTAAGTACTGTAACAATGTCAGCAACCACTCACAGTTCATTCGACCGTGTCGGAGATGGAATTTTACACAATGTAAAATACCTATACTCTGGGACGACTGGTTAAAAGTAAGTTTGTGATTTTTTTTTTATCTGTGGAGGTTTTTGTGTCTATTTTTGGCACACCTTTATACCTGGTTCAAGTGCATTTGTATTTCGAAGCCCCGGGATGTTGTGGTGCCCTCCTGTGGAGCCTCTGTAGAAATCTGGAAAACTGTCGTCTCTCTCTTATTTTAAAATCTAATTTGACATTTCTGGACAATTTTCAAAGCGTGAGTCTGCGATAAGTGTGTGTGTCGATGTGTGTGAACGAACCCTCGATGAAGTTGTTAGTTGTTAATTGGGTTTTACATGACCCACCTGTCTGAAAGAGCACAGATAATAATTTGAATAATGTTTTTAACTGGTGTCTCTGCTCTTCATGAATACGGCAGATCGTGGTTCAGTTTAGTCTGGTGAATACACACTCATTAGCAGTTATCTAAATGGAGAAAATGTTGTCGCTGCTCTTGATTTTTTTAATATTAACATTTCATTATTGACTTGTTTTCCACCACGGCCTGTAATGGTTTGGTTTCACAGCTTCTTTTCTCACTTCATGGTTTCCACTCACACCCTCCCGTGCTTGTGTGGGCTACAGTAACATTATAGTTCTATTGTCCTGGTCCATTATTGGACGGTGCTGGTCCAACTGTGTTGTTGTACCTAAATCTTATAATAGAACATCTAGGTTTGGAGGAAAGACATGGGGCCAGGGGTCAAACTTTTCTTCTGGGGACCCATATTTTAATAGTCACAAACCTTCATTATTTGTAAACATGATGACCCCAAAAAAAATCTCTTGCGTCCCACCTGAGGGTCGGGACCCAGTCTTTGGGAAACAGTGGTCTAAGCTGTACAGCTGAGTTATGACACATTCGACTCCAGATAATATAGACTGACATGTTTGATGAAGATGTTCTTCAGAAAAAAGTATAGTGTAGTTTTATATACTACATTTTTTATTTTTTTTGTTTTATTTTGCTTCTTCACCTTTTGGATAAACTAACCTACCTGGGTTTTCTGTCTACTTCTAGGTCTGTATTTTTTTTAATGTTATTATTTTGTTGTTCCACTCGACGATTCAACACTTAACATCCGACAGAGATGATCCTTGTTTAATTTAACAGTTGATCTTTTTCAAAGAAACACATGGATTTTTCTGACTAGTACTTACTTCACTGAAAAGAAAGGCAAACAGATAGATTTGTGGAAAATAATGAAAGGAAAGATGAGGCAGGTAAATTATGCTGCACATTGTGAGGGGAGATGGAGAGACAGAGAGCACCAGGAGCAGAGCAAAGAGAAAATAATTGGGGCAAAAAAAGGAGGAGGAGGAGGAGGAGNNNNATGGAGGGAAAGGTTTATTGTGCGAGGATGGAGGAAATGAAGAGGGTGAAGCGGAGGAGAGGATGTTCCCCTTTTGTTTCACGGCTGATGGTGAATGATGGACCAACTGTTGTGAAACTCCACCTCATCCATCACTCATACCTTGACCCCCGCCCCGTCCTTTGGTTAACTAAGCGTGCGTTTGTCTATTTATGTGCGCACCAGAGCGGGAGTGAGACGGGAAGAGCCGGTCAGAGGGTGTTTTATGGACACATGGGTTTGGTTTAAAGCGACTTACACAGATAGATAGAAGGAGATGAGATTGAACTCCCCAGCACCGCCCCCCTCCCCCCACACACACCCACCCTCCTCCCCCAGGAGGAGAGGAGAGAGGCTTGTGCAGGAGCTGCACAGAAGGACATCATATTCCTCTGTGTTCATTTTCGTCTGCACATTAATTGTGTTGTCTTCCAGTCCAGACAGGATGCAAGTGGATCGTGAAACTCAGGAGTCAGTTCCCACGGTGAGATAGGGGTTCCCATAGCAACCACAGTAAAGGGACGGCACTGGATAACCCCCCCCCCCTCTACTCCCTGTCTCTCCCTTTCTCTCTCTCCCTCCATTTTTCGTTCTTTCTCTCTCTCTCTCTCTCCCGTCTCAAGGGTGATAAAGGATATGACTCTCATTAATTTTTTGGCCCCTCTTGAGACCAAAGTGTTGAGGAAGGATGTCTCAGAGTGTGTCTGTGTGTGTTTACCCATGTGCATGCTCAGGCCTTTGTTATGTGTGCGTCCTTGACTGTTGAATGCATTCCTGTCACCCATTCAGCACTTTTCTCTTTTGTGCCCAAACCTGTGTGTGCGCCTGTACGTGTGTGTATGTGTGTTTGCATACGTCTTTGTGCGACTGCAGCACAATCTTTTCAATAACTTTCTTTCCACAAACGCACTTCCTTACTTTGCACTTCCTGTGCGCCGAGTTTCACCTTTACACTTCAGGGTAGATACCGATGCGTTTTGTACTGTAGTCGTGACAACAATTCATGTTGTGTCAGACTTATCAGATTCTGGGTCAAATAAAGTCTATTATTAAGATTTTCAGCCTTTGAAATAGTTTTTTTTTTTTCCAGGAAATTTAAAAGCACCATTCGTATTTGAACCTGCTTTTAAAACCTTCGCTGGAGATTTACTAAAAACTGATAAATGTCTGTATTTGAAATAAATATCAGTTTGTTTGGCTTCAGTCTAGACTAAAGACACATAGAACATGCTAACAGAAACAGCTAACTTATCTAAGTCATTGTGTTGACAACAAAAATGTCATTTGTTATTCATCAGTTTACCACTGGATCTTAGGCTGAGCTTAATTCAAAATGTCGATTCATTATTAGACTCTTCTTTAAATGTCAGACTGCATCTGTATTTGTTATTGAATCTGCTCCCGTGGATCGTCTCTAACAAAAAAAAAAAAAACCCGAGCAAACCTAAAAATATAGGAACCAAACTTTTTTATGTCGACACCCTGTAAACAAACAGAGTTTATTTTTACTCTCACACAACACATCAGTTTTACAGAGAAAGATACAGTTATAGCAACAGCGAGGGATTAAAATAGGTTCAGGTTTGTGTCTGTGTCGTTCTGTATGTGTTATATATATTTGTAGATGTCAATAAATAGAAGATAACAGTCAAAAATACTGTGTGTTTTAAAGCTCCCTGATCAAATGACTGACTGACAGACAGAGGAAAACTTTCTAGATTTGATTCTATGATTTCATTCATACGTCCTTATAAGGTAACATCACTTTGACTGATTAGAGCACATTGTCGTTGCCTTTAGCTGCCGTGCTTTATTGAATACTTTCTAACCGAAGTAAGACATTGATGGAATATTTCACAGAAATTGTTTGAAAGTATGAATAGAGAAAGTAAATATTTTGACTTTGAAATTGAGTTTGAAATTCTCTGCAGGTCTTTCAAACCCAAAACTTTTTTCTTGATGCCAGTTGAAACCAAGATTCTGAAAGAATATTCCTTAAAATAAAACCAAGTTCTGATCGGTGGATTTGCCGTTTTTATCATTTTTTATTTTTTTTAATTTTTTTTTAGGGTGGATTTGCCGTTTTTATAATTTTTTATTTTTTTTAATCGTTGAAGAATAGTTATATTATTGGCTAAATGTTTAAAAACTGCATGGTACATCATTTCAGACGTGTTTTGAATCTATAGGCAGTTTTTAAAACCTTTTTCTTTTGTTTTTTTTTTAATCCATTAATCCTTCACGAACCTGGAGACTGGACTAAACCTTGACCTGCACTGGGTTTTTTTTCTCAGCTTACTCAGAACGATTCTTTTGATAAGAGGTAACAGTTTGAAGATAAAAGCTGAATAAATGAGTGGAAATGCATAATGAATGCAGATGGTTGTACACGGGGTCACACTGGGTCACTGCAGGAAGAGGTTTATGAAAATGGTCCTCATAAACACCTTATCTCTACATGAGGTGTTACACACAGACAGAGCTCCAGTCCTCACGACTCTGGACTCTGGAAACGAGGCTGAATCATCTATTAAAACAAGGAGAGAAGCAAAACCAACAAGTTTTAGTTCATGGCTGAAGAGATGGTTGATGGAGTGGTAGCGTGGCCGAGCGGTCCAAGGCGCTGGATTAAGGCTCCAGTCCTTTCGGGGGCGTGGGTTCGAATCCCACCGCTGCCATTGTTTTTCCACAGTAAATGGAAACAGCACAAACACTGTTGATAGTCAGAGCGCTGGTTTCTGCACTTTAGTCAAATCTTCAAAGGATAGTCAGAGCTGTGGTTTCTGCACTTTAGTCAAATCTTCACTGAGGTTTCTTCTTATCTTTATGGCTGTTAAAAATTATATATTTTTTTGTTAATTCCAAAATGCTAACTGGAAAAACATCTTTTGTTATTGATGTTTAATGGAGCCACGCCGTGTTGTCCAAGCTGCTGGATTAACACTCTAATCTCTACATTATATGTGTTAGTGTGTCCGAGCGGTCCAAGGTGCTGGATTAAGGCTCCAGTCCTTTTGGGGGCGTGGGTTCGAATCCCACCGCTGCCATTGTTTTTGCCTTGAATCTCTGAGCCACAACAGTGAAAGTAGGTGGGACAAAGAGCCGCTGTGGCTGCAGGTTTTTGTTCCAGCCCATCAAGAACACACTGACTGACCAATCAACCGTCTGAAGACTCACAGCAGTTGATTAGATTAAAGTCAGGTCAGGTGTGCTCTTTGTGGACCTAACTGCCCATCCCTGACAGAGAGCCTTGTGAATGAAATACCTTACCGTACTGTACTGTACTGTTCTGTACTTGTTCTGTTCTGTACCGTACTGTTCTGTACCTGTTCTGTTCTGTTCTGTTCTGTTCTGTACTGTACTGTACTGTACTGTACTGTACATACAGTGCATGTGGTTTCAAATCACTGCTGCCCATAACTTTTTAAAAAACAAACCAAAACAACCAGCCAACAGAGTCATGTCGATGTCGAGCCTTGACTTGTTCCTACATGGTTCGAGCGTGTGAGCATTTT